AATCATATGAATCAATAGATAATATATGTGAACTCAATGTGTGAATTTTATTTCCTTCTTCATCTAGAATACAGTAATTAGGAAACATACTGTTCAACATCGATAATGTTGTTTTTGTAAGTATACATAAACCTGTTACTTGGATGCACTTTGACCAATCCTATTCAAATGATTACTAAATCTAAGCATTACCTATAGATAAACTACTAACTTATGGTACTTTTATTCATCGGTGAACTAGGTACCTAAAAAAACTAATAATAATCAGTTAACTATACTGCCCAACATAAATATTAGTCAACAGAAAACTACATAAGGTTATAGAGTTATTATTAATTGCCCAATTTGTTCAGGCATAATAGGATTCTGAATGTTTAGTTGACAAAAATCTTGCTACATGTAACAATGAAATTAGCTTGATAAAATAAGAGGATGAGTGAACTTGCTAAACTTATTATTTGCTTACAGAAGTAGTCAGAAAATACATTTTTGAACATAAGCAAAGAACCAGTTCTCAACCAATAAGAGATTAAAGCTAAAATTTTACCTTAATATGATACAATTTATCGAATAGGAAACAAATTAGTGAAATTAAAGGTTACAATGCAACCAATGTCCTTGAACTTCTGTTTGCCATTAAGTCGATAACATTTTCCAAAATTCATTTACATTGATCTAATTTACCAACCCTTAAAATTGTTTTTGAAAAACAATATATTATAATTCACTTGGTATTGCTTGGCTTGTATCTTCCCATTGAGTCTTTTTTTAAAGACTGCAATTGATCAGTCTGTCATCGGCATATGTGCATATACCTCGATATTGCCTTAATTCACAAGCTTTTTGTAAGCAATCATGGATATTGGTTAGCAGTGGAATCCAGGACGCGCGTTTTGTCCTATTTGGGCTCGTCGGCTGGATGTATCTGCATCTCAGAGTTGATGTTCACTCTGAGACTCGAACCCAGTACCATTCGCTTCAAACACCAAACAATACCAAGTGAATTTAAATTCACCCCATTGCACAAGCAAGTGGCTATCAGGACTCAGTAGCTGAGTGGATAACGCGATGGCGTTTGAAGCGAATGGTACTGGGTTCGAGTCCCAGAGTGAACATCAACTCTGAGATGCTGGTACATCCAGCCGACGAGTCTCAAATAGGACGAAACGCGCGTCCTGGATTCCACGGCTAGCCACTATCCATCATTACTTACAAAAATATATTGTAATGTTTAAGCAACGAAAATTGAATACTGATATCATATTAAAAAGTAAATGACACTAATTCAGAAATATGGTTCTAATGGACACTATTCTATAAAACAAACCATCATTCGTAAATGGGATGTAAACTTTATTTATCTTTATGTATATATAACGCAAAGCGGTTTTGTGAAAATTTTAGTGATTTAATGGTTGAACGTATCAGTCAATTAAAGCCAAAGCATTATGGAAAACGTGAAAGCAGTGGACGATCATTCACGATCCATTTTAATGCAAAATATCAGTACATTGAATTATTACATTCCACCTTCTTGAGTTAAATAACTGGTGATATTCGAAAGCCGTCATATTCAAAATAGTATTTGAACGTACAATCTAAATCAGAAATCATTATTTCACTTGTTCATTTATAATACAAATGTTCAACATTTTTACTGTTCAGTTTAATGAGAATCATCATTAGATTCTTGTTATTGTCAGTGGAGTTGTTTTATTATAAAATTAATTACGTTGTATAATTCAACTTAGTCAAATTATGTAATGTATCAGGGGTAAACTGATTTAATTAACACATGAAAGGTTTTTTTTTACGTAAGGATTCTTAATTACACTTAGTACTAACAGATTTCTTCAAATATTGATGTTTATGAAAAGTATTTATTACCGGTTACAGAATACACAGATATTGTTAATATTTATTTCTATGTACAGTAATCAAGTGAAGAGTTGTGTCATTTTTTAATACACAATATGAATGTGATTAGTAAGAAAATTCACTTGGTAACTATAACAACAATGGCATTAAACGTTCAAAAAATAACCACTTTATTTCATTACTTCTTATCAAGAGGTACCATTATTTTGGTAAAGATAGCATATAAGTGGCTCAATTGTTTATTGAAACCTAGTCATACCTTAAATTTGGCACAGTAACAAAACTGAAATCACATGGCGTCACAGAAAAAACGAAAACACTTCATCGTGTGTTGTATTACACAACATGCCAACTTAAATTAATTGAGATTTGATAATATTTGGTAAGTCCTAGTGAATTTATATTACGCAAAGTAGTAGTATTTCAATCAAATTTGAATTTTTCAATTATAAGAAATTATAGGTGTAGATTGCATGAAATATAACCTGCTTTTCCAACCAATATTAGAAATTATGAATTAATTAATGTTAGAAATAAACACCGTTGGGTCCCGGCTCAATGGTCTAGAAGTTAAGGGTTCGCGCGTGGGATTGAAGATCATGCTTTTGAGTACTGGAAACGTCCAGTGATTCCAGTGGTAATCTAGAAAAGATTAGTTTGTGATTTGCACTGTGAGGACCAGAAATGTTACTCACATTATTGATCACATTTGTGTGTAATTAGCCACAGGACAGAACTAAATAACCGTATACGTAGATAAACAACTTTGCAGTATAGCATAAATTCACTAACTGAATATTGACTTTTGATGATTCAACTACTGACAGTAGAAAACCATCGTGATTGAAAGTTAAAATAATAATAACAACTTGTTGCTAAGTTTACGGGACAGGTGACCACAACTAATAGACTGACAGACAAAATTAATGGAAGAAAAAGAGATTGTCCTGGTAAACAGCTCACATGATCGATCTTAAGAATTTGTGTAAAGAATCTATGGAGTTGCAGAGTCCTATTGAGGGTTCAAAATGTTAATGTTTATAAGATTCCCACTTAAATAAATATAATCAAATTATCAGCAAATATGAGATTCAAGATAGACTCGATCCATCACTTAATTGATGCACTGGGAAATAGAAAACAATGTTTGTCTTCAACGGACGTGGAAATGTAATAAGTTACATGATACTTTAAAGAGAAATATATACAATGAACAGGAAGTCAACAACAAAAATTATTTTTGAAAACAACTTATTTTGAAACTTCACTTTAGCAAACACATAAATAAGGATTTGGCACGGTAGCTTAGTGGTTGAAGAGTTTGACTTTTAGCCACTGGACCCCTGGTGCGAACCCCAGTCTACCAACTTACATTTTAAGGACTATGCACTCCATTTAGCGCTCATATTTAAAGCATGCCTCATACTCGAGTACCTGGGGAATGAGTTCATTTAATAATATTGATGTCATACAGCATAGATTAACTAGAGGAGTTAAAAGGATTCTTTATACAACCGATGGTTATTTGTCATTTTTTAGTCGAAAAGTGGTGGTTATATTGTAGTGAACAAAGAGCTTTGATGAGCAAAACCGATTTATTTTTTAAGGCAAAATTACACAGTGGCTTAGTAAAATATGAAAACCGTACATTAAACATATCATTTGAACGTTATTTTTGCGTTGTCCTTTACATACTTCATTTTTCTTCTAACTCTGTTGTGATTTTGATTCCTCTCCGATTTCCTTTCTGTTCTCTTCAATCTAATCTTCTGCTGTCAGGTATTCCACTTCAGATTGCATAAGTAGACTACACCACAGTATAATTAAAAGAAAGTGTATCTGGTTTCCCCACTTCAATGTGTATTCATCATGTCAATTACTCCCATAGAGGAGTGCTCGTAGTACTTTGGAAAGATTATATAGACTATGGGAAGCTCTTTTTTATCATTTGGTCAACGGTGGTTATGTAGTAGATAAATTCATAGCAGTCTAAGTGATTTATTATACAACGCCATACTTCCGTAACAGGGTTTAATTTTATCTTCGAAATATGGTGGAAGCAGTAAAAGTTTAGACCAAAAACCTAATTCTTTATATTCAAAAGGTGTATTACCTTTGATTCTTCCTTGGCCGGATAAACAATACCTGGGGAACCTTTTAATATTAACCTGTCCTGTTTTCTTTATTACACTTCTTTTATATCGCTTTCATAATACTTTAACATCCACATACATTTTAGCATGTGATTTACAATGGTTTTTATTTTAATAAGCTTATTTACACATGTTTTGAATTAATTCCCATACCGAAATATTTGTCGGTCTTTTTTTGCTGGTACAATTACTACTTCTACAAATAAATGATCACAGAGTGAGTAATGGCCAATTCTAGGTACGCTATATCCTTACTTCCTGTCGACTAACTTTATTCACGACCATGTTATAGCTCGATATAGCGGATATGATGTCGAGGCACTTAGACTAGTAGTGGGCATACTATCAATTGATCGATAGAATTCAATTAGTATAAAACAAAGTTTTGACATACATTAGAGGGAGATAGATAAATTACGCAAATCAGCACTACACTACCATAGTGAGCTTGTTGGACAGTAATATATATCGATCGTATGTGTTAATATAGATCACTAAGACTGGAAACTGATACAGCAACAAAATATCTTGTTCTGAGGCTAAAACCTAACAACACGGATTCCTATTGGACGAATGATCTTTTACGTGGATGGAATTCGCTAAAAAATATATATTAGGAATTAGAAAACATTTAACAGCTATTCCTTCCTAGCCTACAAATGTTATGTAATATCTACGTTTCACTAAATATATACAGTCCTATATCGAATAACATCTAGATTTCGCAAACATCACTATGCTATTTTGAGTAACTAAGCCCAGAATCTAGCAGTCTACACCGAGAATCTTATCTGTGATACTAATAAAATTGTTTATCAATAAAATTACATAGCCAACTGAAGTAACATGAAAAATACTAAGATGTATTCTTGAAGATTAAAAATAGCTACAGTAAGCACGAACTTGACAGTTTCTTTTTTCCATCAGATCATCAACAACAACAACAACAACAACAATATTATTTGAAGAATAAATTCAAACTATATGATAGCTATAAGTGATACATTTGAAAAAAGCACACAACTACTTACACATCAATTATCAATCATTTCGAGTGTATAACAATTGTTAATTTAGTTGAGTATAATAAATAAAAACGTCATTATAACATATATGTAAACCCGTTTTCTATGTTAAATATTCCATGATTAATGACAGATATTAAGATCACAATTATTAATTAATAAAATACACTTACGTAGTGAAGAAAAAAAAGTAATAACAATTAGAATTTGAAGTGAATATTCTATTTTTCACTTCATCAGACAGATACACTTGAAAGAGATATTACTTGTATATAAAAACTTATTACAACAGAATAACACAGTGTGAATAAACTCGTGTTCATTATAACTGATACAATTATTCACATAATGTCATTTACAGAGAAAAAATAAAAGATGTTTTATTGAATTGAGAAATAAGTTAAAGGACTATTTTGTAAAAATGAAAAAAAAGTAGTTTAATTTTTAAGGAAAGTAAAATCTGTGAACAAATTAAAATACAGGATATATTTTGTATGATGAATTGAATAAAGATGGTTAGTTAATGAGTGTTAATTGATGATCAAATGAAGTATTGTCATTTGTTTTTATTGTAGACTTATAGTAATGGATAAAATATAGGACAGAAAAGTATAGCTATTTGTTATCCAGTTTAAATTTTGTGTAGTTTGACTACGGAAGACATTTACATGATTTTGGGAACGATTTAAAGACTGTTATTATATGTATATTCTTACTGTATAACTATTAATTAACTAGATTATGTCTCTTATTATAAGCTTCCAATTGATCTATTGGCTACTGTTACACAATTTACTATTCTTAAGTTGCCCATAATCTATTGATTGAAGTATTTCCCACTCATAGCCACCTTTGGCTTGAACTTGAATGATTGTTATTTTCTATTGTGTGGTATGTTGCGGTCTGGTTTTGTTGTATATAAGCCAAGTATGTCTGAAATATATGACTTATGGTATGAGCTGAGATTGTGTTCTGGACTCAACAGGCACGGCAAGGGGAACCAGTAAAGACAGAGTTGACTCGAGGCTGCTCGTGCTGGTTAATGCGTCGTTGGTTTGGCACAGTGCCAAATCTACATAAATCGATGTTCTAATTGGTGTGTTTTTACTGGACAGATTATATCGTAACTATAAGCAAAGTATTAGAATTAACAAGTTTGTTTCACTGACTAAATAAGAATGTGCAGCTGATGATATGCGATGACTAACTTGCCAATAAAACTTATGTTTTCTTCAGAATGAACACAGACTACTACTTATAAAGATTGACTAAGGGTAAGTAGATCCTATTAATCGCATTTTGGCAATTTTCGACTGAAATCTAATTCAGATGTTAAGCGTATAGACAGTAGATAATAAACTATACAAAATAAAAGCACCATTTTTACGAAATGATTGAATACCAGGTTGTACTCTGGTAACGCGTTAGAAAAACTGTAAAGTTAAACGTGCGTGGCAATAGAATTGTTATTTGGACGGATTTTCTGTGCTTTAAGAAATGAATGACTAGAGTGGCTAATTCAAAAAATTGAATCGTACTTTGATAAGAATTACACTAAGAATAGTATACACTGGTTAAAATGAATTATAAACCCAACAAACCAAAACACCTTGAAAGTTGAACGCGCACTGTAATACCGGTTAGTTTGATGGAAAATCATAAACTTGGATGGCAAATATCCCGCAAAATCGTTTGCATATTGATGAAGATCATTAGCATCAACTAGTTTCTTCACCTTTTACATGATATTCACGAATATTTAAATCGACGAGATATTAGTCTATTCATGAAAATTACCAAGGTTCATTATACCGCTATTTATCACGGGACTGAAGAGAATTCATCACATTTACTTGACACGTCATAAACACGTTTGTTATTTATTTGATGAAACTCATGGATCTTTGTTTGTTACACTCCTGATGCCATATTACTTGGTCTACTTTATCATCAAACATGCACCAACTTCATTTTTATATAAACTCATAATTTGATTATTTCATCATAACTATATCCGTTAATTGTCAAACCTTCTAGTAGGAAATCTTGTTACGAATTAACGACGTGAAATTCAAAATCAGTGCCTGTTGGTTAAGCGCAATCACTAAGGAGCTTGGGACTCCTTTCAAAACTTTGATCCATGAAAGTTGCATCAACAATATTACACCTTGTCAGATAACGACAAGTGAGCAACACTTCAAGATACCACTTGTCAATTACTAGAGCCTGGAAGAACTTCATGCATAACCGAAGTTACTTAATAATTTAATCAATAACTTACATTAAACACTGCGAACAGTATACAAACCGTTAAAAACAATGCATACACCACCTTCACCATTACTCTTGATATGTAGATGTAGTTTAAATAAAATCTTGTATAGGTAGAAAAATATTTATAAATTGCTAAACAGATAATTACTTACTAGAGTACAATTCATGGCAATATGTTTGATCTTTGATTGTTCGATTTGTGAAATGCATACTTCCTATTTTTATGCCTGTCGAGGTAAATCTATGATATATCTGCAACTTTATGAAGATTCTAAGTACTGTTAGTTCAGCCTACAGTATAACACTAACATTGAGTAAGTCCCTAATACATTATTTAAGATGCTCGACTTTGAATAACCTAACAAAACTACCTCGTAAACATACAATAAATGAAATGTGTGTAGCAGTGGGACCCATGACACGAATTTCATCTTATTTAGGACTCGTCAGCCGGGTGCACCTGCATCTAATAGCATATCCAGATGACGAGTCCCAAGTAGGAAAAACCACGAGTCCTGCATTTCACTGCCACCCAAATCCCACCTGTTCAATATCAACTTGTGACATAATGGCTGTGTCGAGGCAATCCGTACAGGATGCCCATATACTAACCAAGACTGATCACATTTCAGTCGAAAATATCAACAGGAAAATTCAAATAGAACTATATCTCGTAGGCGGGTACGTATAACAAACTTGCTTTGTCATACACTCCTTTTTAGCAGGTTTCATCAATGAATTGTTTATTATTTGATTATAGTGAAACAATAAAATTACGGCAACTAAGTTGAGACAACCAAATCGCATTATTCGTCCAGTTTAAATCCCATTAACATGGAATCTAAACCAATCACCTGTAATACAATAAACATTTACTTACATTTCGGAATCTGACTTGCAAAAGTAGAGATTTGAGATCAATTAGTCAATAAATTTGTTAGTGGACAATTTGATCTGACTGAAGCCCTAATTGATATAAGTAGTATTTCAAGAAATGATGTCCGACACTGAAACATATGTGAGCGAATATAAGTAAAATTGTAGGTTAAATTGGATCTTAAATGTGTTTCATACAGAGGACATGTACTAATCAAAGTACTGGCAATAATTTTTTCTTCTAGTTTACACAATCGATGTGTCTAAATCGAATTTTAGACTTATATAATCGAGTTAGGCGATAACCAGACTGGAATTTCAAAACAAACGAATCCTCTGAAAAAATTATGTATTTTCAAAAAAATAACAAGGAGAAATAATATTTCGCAGTTGATCATTCATAATATTGTTAAGATAAAAACAAGGTTTTAGCAGATACACTAAATGGATTATAAAAATAAGTGGAAATATGAGAAACAAACTTTTTTTGAAAGCGTTTACTAACAAGGAAATTTTTCATAATACTAAGAATAAATAAACAATGATTAACATATTTAATTTGTGATCAACTCAGTTGTTCAAAATTTCAATTTCTTCATATTCCAAACGCTGACAGTGATAGTACAACGAATTTCAAATATAGGAACTTCACTAGAACATACTGTTGACATAATTAATGGGGTTAGTTAAGGGTAAATTGTTAATGATTACCAAAATTCCTTTTAGAATCATTTATATACTATCCCAATAACTTTATCAACAGAATTAGACTCAACATTTAAGTGGCGAATAAGTAACAAATTTAGTGGCAGACGTTAACTAAACGAATTATTCATAGTACTAAGTATAGTGACCGGTCATGCAGGCTGATGATGGTAACTAAATAAGTACAATTCAAATTAAATAAGTGTAGTATTCATTCGATTAAACAGTTGCAAGATATCTGGTTAATTAAAAGTTATTTAGCATGATGGATTTATATACAACGGTTATTTAGTAGATGTCAGAGTAACAACTTTTCCTCTTGGTTTTCATTAAACCGAAGTTGATTACAGCAGCTATTCTTCTGGATACATGTTACCCGGTTGTTCAAAATAAACATTTACACCAATAACATGAAGGGGTTATCAATACGATTCAGCACTATTTAATTTATCCTTGTCTAGTGACACTTAATTACTATAACAATCCATGTAAACAAACAATTAAATCTATCGATACCGTACGGACTTTGAAGACTCCAAGGCTTCCCACTTAAGATTAATCATTTAACAGGAAGTAAGCTACGATTAATCAACATTAAGTCGACCAAACATATCACATTTCAGTTTATGTTTCATAATAGAACATTTTTTTCTTACATGACTCTTGAGATCAAATCATTTACATTTACGAAGCAAGATTCCACAATCGCATACACGCATGACATTGTGTTTATGGCAAGCAAACATCGGCAAATTCCTGTAAACTCGTTTACATTCTGTCGGGACTGAAGTAAAATTGGCTGACTTACATTTAAATAAAATACAACTCCAGGATATTAGACATAACAACCTTTCAGCTTTATTTTGCTTCTCACAGAATTAACTGACTGAATCCTTCACGTTTTTGCCCATTGATTCTTCTAAATAAATATTGGAATTTTGAGAATTTTTGACAAGGGAAAAATTGTTCCGTACAATCTCTGGTGTACTCCAGCTTGAAATTCGATTATAGCAGATCGATTAAATTGACAACACACCGACATAACTTCGCACCAACCCTTAAAACAATCAAGTTTAAAGACGCTCACAAGCATTATTAAAATGAAGTTAACATGTAGGTAGTTGGCTAGCAAGTAAATTGAACGAAACCAATTTCTGGGTTTTGTTTACACATTTGCAATCAGCTGCGCCGAATCTCGGTTCTATCAATCCTCACTTTGTAAGATAATCACGCTTTAGATACTAAGTCAATAAGATATGTTTTCACAACTTGAAGGCTAGACAAAATGTGGTCACAAAAAAGTAGTTAAATATGATTTATTTTCGGACAAGTCTTGAAAATGTTAACACCGGAAAGCTGCACACGATGCATTAAAAAGTGATATACATTCGAAAACTATCCATAGACTGTAGGAATCCAGTAGTTTGTTACATCAAATGCAATAAACGTGACTGTTGGAGGGGGGCTGACAATAAAGTTATAGTGATTTTAAGTCGTTATTAATAAATACAAGAGTTGTTGCAGAAATAATTTTTGCTAAATGGTAAGAAGTAGAAAGCGTTCACATCACTCCAAAGGTTTGCTAAGATACCGAAGAATCAGACATAAACAAAAGTAACACCAAAATAAGAAAGGACTCAGTTGGAGGTGCCCGTTTCAAAATATACGCATCTGAATTAATTAAATGCTTTTTATCACGGTTGATGTCTATGAAATCTTTAAACTGATATTTACAATAAAATAATGACGAAGAATCGTCAACAAATATTCAGAGGATATTTACAAAGAGAATGCTAACCAACTTAAAGGTTAGCACAAATTCCAAACTAATCTCAATATTCAACACAAGCAATAAATATGACTTTCGCCGGCAGTTATGAAAGTTAACCCAGTTTATTAATTGTTTTGTTTTAGGATTTTCAAGGACTACATTCTTTTACTCTAGCAAAAGTCCCGAGAATTCAAAAATGTGCTACTGCAATTCACCATTTTACTATGTGCATAATCCTTTAATTTTAATAGTAGTAGTATTATTGTTGTGGAAAGCAATGATTTGGGTAATTGTCGTTGTGATTGCAGTTCGATGGATTGATCTGAGGTACAATATTGCTGCGACTAAAACAAGCCCCATTCTTTAAAAAACCTTTATTTTAATGCAGAATCCGTTACCAACTTCTTTAGCTGAATCACTTTTAGAGAATATTTAACAACGAAAACCAGTTATGAGTGCTTTTAAAGTCAATTGACGGGAATGTGTATCAAGAAACTCCAA